TGCCGTGGGGAGGCAGAGTGAGAGCCGTGTCAGGGAGGCAGTGAGGGCCGCGTAGGGAGGGCAGTGTGAGGGCAGTGTAAGGGAGGCAGGGTGAGGGCCATGTAAGGGAGGCAGGGTGAGGGCAATGTAGATAGACAGAGGAGAATGTAGGGAGGCAGGTTGAGAGCTGTGTAGGGGAGGCAGGTGAGAGCCGTGAGGGGAGTGAGCGTATAAGGGGAGGCAGGTGAGAGCAGTGTAGGGGAGGCAGGGTGAGAGCCGTGTAGGGGAGGCAGAGTGAGTGCCGCGTAGGGGAAGCAGAGTGAGAGCTTAGGGAGGCAGGGTGAGAGCCGTGTAGGGGAGGCAGGGTGAGAGCCGTGTAGGGGAGGCAGAGGAGACGGGGTAGCAGAGTGGGAGCCGTGTAGGGGAGGCAGGGTGAGAGCCGTGTAGGGGAGGCAGATGAGAGCCATGTAAGGAGGCAGGTAAGGCCGTAAGGGAAACAGAGGTGACCGTGTAGGGGAGGCAGGGTGAGAGCCGTAGGGGAGGCAGGGTGAGAGCCGTGTAGGGGAGGAGAGAGTGAGAGACGTAGGGGAGGCAAAGTGAGTGCTATGTAGGGGAAGCAGAGGAGAGCTGTGTAGGGGAGGCAGGGTGAGAGCCGTGTAGGGAGGCAGGTGAAGGCCATGTAAGGGAGGCAGGTGGAGGGCCAGGGGAGGCAGGTGAAGGCCACAAGTAGGAGGCCGGTGAAGGCCGTGTAGTGGAGGTACGGTGAGGGCCATGTAGGGAAAAGTGAGGCCGTGTAGGGAGGCAGGGTGAGAGCCGTGTAGGGGAGGCCGAGTGAGAGCCGTGTGGGGAAGCAGAGTGGGAGCCGTGAAGGGGAGGCAGGAGAGAGCCGTAGGGGAGGCAGATGAGAGCCATGTAAGGAGGCAGGTAAGGGCCGTGTAAGGAAACAGAGTGTGACCCGTGTAGGGGAGGCAGGGTGAGAGCCGTGTAGGGGAGGCAGGGTGAGAGCCATGTAAGGGAGGCAGGGGGGACGTGGGGAGGCACGGTGAGGGGCCAAGTTAGGGGAGGAGCAGGGTGAGGGCCAGTAAGGGAGGCAGAAGGCCATGTAAGGAGGCAGGTGGGGGCCGTGTAGGGGAGGCACGGTGAGTGCCGTGTAGAGGAGGGTGTGAGGGCCATGTAAGAGAGGCAGGTGAGGCCATGTAAGGGGAGGCAGGTGAGGGCCAGTGTAGGGGAGGCAGGTGAAGGCCATGGGGCAGTGAAAGGTGAAGGCCGTGTAGTGGAGGTAGGCAGAGGGCCGTGAGAGGAGGCAGGTGAGGGCCGTGTAGAGGAGGCAGGGTGAGGGCCGTGTAAGTGAGGCAGGTGAAGGCCATGTAAGGGTGGCAGGTGAAGGCCATGTAAGGGCGGCAGGTTAGGCCGTGCAGGAGGCAGGAAGGGCCATGTAAGGGAGGCAGGTGAGGGCCGTAGTGGAGGTACGGTGAGGGCCGTGTAGGGAGGTACGGTGAGGCCGTAGAGGTGAGGCAGGGTGAGGGCCGGGTGAGGCAGGTGGCTACAAGGGAGGGTGGCAGGTGAAGGCCATGTAAGGGCGGTGAAGAAGCCGTGGGGGAGGCAGGTGAAGGCCATGTAAGGGGAGGCACGTGGAGGGGCCGTGTAGGGTGGCAGGTGAAGGCCGTGTAGGGAGGTACAGTGAAGGTCGTTTGAGGAAGCAGGTGAGGCCGGGCGATGCAGGTTAGGCCGCAGAGGAGGCAGGGTGAGGGCCGTGTAAGGACGGCAGGTGAAGGCCATGTAAGGGAGGCAGGTTAGTGCCGTAGGGGAGGCAGGGTGGAGGGCCGTGTAAGGGAGGCAGGTGAAGGCCATGTAAGGGAGGTTAGGTAGAGGAGGCAGGGTGAAGGCCGTAAGGAGAGGCAGGTGAAGGAGCCATGTAAGGGAGGCAGGTGAAGGCCATGTGCGGGTGGCAGGTGAAGGCCATGTAAGGGAGGCAGGTTAGGGGCCGTAAGGCAGGCAGGTGAAGGCCATGTAAGGGAGGCAGGTGGAGGCCGTGTAGGGTAGGCAGGTGAGGGCCGTTTAGGGGAGGCAGGTGAGGGCCGTGTAGGGGAGGCAGGTGGTGGCCGTGAGGGCAGGTAAGGGCCGTGTAGGAGGCAGGTGAGGGTCGGGGAAGGAGGCATGGTGAGGGCATGTAAGGGAGGCAGGTGAAGGCTGTGTAGGGTAGGCAGGGTGATGGCAGTGTGGGGAGGCAGGTGAAGGCCGTTTAGAGGAGGCAGGTGAGGGCCGTTTAGAGGGAGGCAGGGTGAAGGCCGTTTAGAGGAGGCAGGTTAGGGCCGTGTAGGGAGAGGCAGGTTAGGTCAGTTTAGGGGGTGGAGGAGGGCCAGAGGCAGGTGAAGGCCGTGAGGAAGCAGGTTGAGGGGTCAGGGAGGCAGGAAAATGTGTGGGGAGGCAGGTTAGGGGCCGTGTGCGGGGGCAGGTGAGGGCCGTGTAGGGGAAGCAGGAGGGCAGTGTAGGGAGGCAGGGTGAGGGCCGTGTAGGGGGAGGCAGGTGAGGGCCGTGTTGGGGAGGCAGGTGAAGGCCGTGTCGGGGAATCAGGGTGAGGGGCCGTGGGGAGGCAGGGTGAGGGCCGTAGGGGAGGCAGGTGAGGGCCGTGTGGGGAGGCAGGGTGACGTGGGGAGGCAGGGTGAGGGCCGTGTAGGGGAGGCAGGATAGGGGCGTATAGGGGAGGCAGGTTAGGGCTGTGTAGGGGAGGCAGGTGAGGGCCGTGTAGGGGAGGCAGGTGAGTGACACAGGTACTCCCAGTCTTAATTATACATTAGTAGAGCGGCGGCGAGTGTCCTCCAGCAAGCTCGTTAATATCACCTCAATACCCTAGTCTGGCTGAATAGTATCCCTCCCTCCTCCTCTCTAACCCCTCCCTCGTTCCCATATTCATTTCTCTCTCCCTCCTTTGCTCTCATTTCTTCCTCGTTTTTCCTCTCCTTCGCTTCTTCCTCCTTCTTTCCCTCTCACTGCCCCCTCACCCCTCCTGACTTTTCCTCCTTCCTCCCTCTTGTTCCCTTCCTCTCATTCGGTCATATTTCTTCCCTCTCACCCTCCTCTCTGTTCACCTCTCCTCCTCCTTTACATCATTTGTTAACGATACTCAGTCCTCCTTCCTTAACCTAAAGCATTTACGAGATCCCCTCTAACACCTCCTCATTTTACTCACAGACCTCTCTTTCTACCAACCACCTCCTCCCACTCATCTTCGCGTCGTCCCTCTCATCGCCCTACACCCGAACATCAATCTCATCTCTCTTCTTCTTCCCTCTACCTCTCTTTCCATTCCTTCCCTCCCCTCACGAATACGTCGTCTTACTCTCCCTCATATCTCCCTCCCGCCATTTCTTCTCCCTACCTTATATGTCACCCTCCTATCCCCCATCTCTCCTTAAAACGCCATATAATTACCCGTTACCCCTTAATCCTATCAGATATTTTGTATTCCCGTTGATGATGCTCTTCTTCCTCCTCCTTCATCTTCACACCCTCAACATCACATCCCTGTCCCGTTTTCTCCTTTCTTAACCTGTCTGGATCTCACAATCTCCGGGCCTTCTACATTCCCTTTCCACTAAATTTCTATCTCCTCTATGTGTGTGTCATCAGCTATTATATTTCTCCCTCAGCCCTTTCTTCCTCCCAATCATCTCTCACCGTCATGAGCTCCCTCCTTCTGCCTATATAAAGTTAACCTTATGTTATTTTGAAACTTCCCATCTATATAAGTGTCTTCCCCTCCCTCTCTCCCTCCCTCCCTCTTCCTCCCAAGCTTCTTACTTCTTCTCTCCCTCCATACTCCTCTCAATCATCTCTAACCTCCATCCCTCCCCCTACTCCTGTCTACATAGATGTCGCCTCACCACCCTTCCTGGCCTCCTCAAGTCTCCCTAGTGGCAGAGGGAGGCTGTGGATGGTCGTCGAGGCGAGCATCAGGTAGAGGCAGAGGGAGGTTAGAGTGGCGTAAAGTTATATAAGACCGTGTGTGGCGAGCATGCTGAAGGCACTATCCTGAGCTGCCACACCCCAGGGCACGACCAGGGGTAGGTGGCCACCACACTCCGCAGTCTCATATATTCAAGAGTTAAATATTTATCCTTATTGGAACTATGAGGACTTGCTTAATTGCATTAATTATGCTGCGACACAAAGCTGACGTCCAAAATATTGTTTAAAGGACCATATACGGGGTTTATAGTTGGCAAGTAATATTTTTCTTGAACCTGTGTTTGTTTGTGTATAAAGAAGACGTTTTCAAGATACCTGTGGGTTCATAATCAATGTTATGCCAACTGAACAGTATCTTAGGCCCATACACTATTATAAACGTCTCGCACCTTAACACACAGAAACACAGGTTATAAAAACGTGGCAATTCTGAACCCATTATTTGACCATTTAAGCGAATAAGAGTGAGATCCAACCATAACTATAGCTGTATTCTTTAATCTTTACTAAATGAAAATTAATGCACGAATCTTCGGTGTTAGTGTACAGGCCTTTCTGATTAACACCTGGAACAGACACAATAATACAGGATTTAGGAGCTAATGAGTTAAATTAACATTATTGTGAACGATAAAGAATTGCCATGGTTCTCTGGTAAACCCGGGACGTGAGGGAGCCGTAAGGATTGATTAGTGTTGTTTTATCACCAGTGACGTCTCTTTTTATCATTTCATCATATATTAGCTTACTCACCGTTCGGGCGGTCGGTCTCTTCTTTGTTACTTTGTTACGACCTTCATTTTCCACTGTTATGGATCTGTCATCTGACGAACTTATTCACTGATTTACGAAAAAAGACACCACACCATAAAATATACTGCACTCAACTGTCTACCAGAAATATATCATGACTTCCGCTTTCTAAAACTGTATCATGCTTTAGAAATAATACTATATCTGTCCACCAATCAAATATTTCATGACGTAAGGAAATAACATACATTGGTTTAATCGGCACATTAACCCCTCCATCCCTAACTTGTGTGTCGCAGGGAGCGCGGGTGGTGTGGGCGGAAGTAACGCTGGTACACGAGGGCGCCCTGGGAGGTGCTGCCTGGGGCTACAGTCTGCTCCCCTCCACCTTCCCCCTCACCTGGGACGAGGCGCGGGCCGCCTGTGAGGTGGTGCCGGGCTCTATGCTTGCTAGAGGTGAGCAACACACTGTTTATGTATGATACCATGTATGAAATATCACATTCACTTTCAGTATACCTAAGTCATTACTGACAATTGCTTTCTCATACTCACCAAAAAGTTGTCAACGTTCCTCTGACTCCGTAAAAACAAAAAAAAGCAGTCATATATATTTTTCAAAGGTAGAGTCACCTGTCCAGTTCTAGGAATTCCACTTTCCAAAGTGTAAACTCTGACATTGTACTCGCTGCAAAAACAGTCACCGTCGTAGAAAAAGATGGACTTTTACAGTTAAAGAAATCTGGCATGAAGGCCAAAAACTATTGTTTTTCCTTCGGTCATTATTACACAAAGACTAGATACATATTAAAATATCTAGAGCAAACGATAAAGGCCAAATTATTACATAAACTTTTGATAAGAGGTGGGGTTAGATAATGACTTAATTTCATAGTTATAATCACCATAAAATCAAAAGAAGGCAACAATAAAAACATGATAAATACTTGTTTGTTTTTTTCGTACAGGAACAAAAGTGATTATTTCTAACTCAGTGTGACCTGTCCTCCACCCAGCTGGGTCCCTCAGCCAGCATAACCAACGACTTTACCTCTGCCTCCCAGTGTTATTACTTTTGATCTTAAGTAAATAATTAACTCCTGCGTCCTATAAACATAATATTTGTAGTACCTCAGTGTGACTAATATATTCCTTTTCTGCCCGGATGTGACTTGTGGTGTGACCCTAGTGGAGGAGTGGCAGGCGGAGGCAGCAGTGGAAGAATACCTTAAGACGCTGCAGTTCACACAGCCCGTCTGGCTGGCCAACAGACAAACTCTACCAGAAGTGTGAGTGAACGCTAGTCATTCCACTTTATTACTATCTGATATATGTATCAGTTATACAGTACGTATGCCTTAATCTCGAAAACTTGAATATTTATTGAGGCAACTTGAATATTTAGTTCCTTCTTGAACATTTTGTGTTTCCAACTTGAAACTTCCTATCTGGGATTCTTGATTTCTCATATTGTTTAGTTAGTCCACTCCTTTCTTCTGAGTAATCATTCAACCTTTCCTTGCATAACCATTCCACTTCTAATAAGTAAATTCGTGTTGAATACGCACTCTCTCACTAGAGCTAACCTATTCAGTGCCGGTACAGTATACTAGCATTGCAATGATTTTAACTCGTACAAAATCAAATTATATCAGCAAGTTGGATCTTTCTCAATTCACCCTGCTGATACAAAGAATTTGGTCAACTTACTGCCGTTATAAGTAGCTCTTTTTGACGTATGAAACTTAACTTACCATACACTGCACTTATTAACTTCATGAAATGTACTCGATAACTCTAAATTAACCCAAAATTCGTTTCGTTTCTCAAGACCACTTAGTTTATCATCCGTCAACTGGTCACTGTGTGTTACAACAACGAGATCACCAACACATCTCAGGTAATATGTCGTGGAACTAGTGGTATATTATCATGGTCTGTGCTGAGTTTTAAGTTATTATTTTGAGTATCCGGACCGTATACTCTCACACGTTGTTTTTGTAAGTGTAAATGTTAGTATGTGTGTGTGTGTGTGTGTGTGTGTGTGTATATGTGTGTGTATGTGCGCGTGTGTGTGTGTGTGTGTGTGTGTGTGTGTGTGTGTGTGTGTGTGTGTGTGTGTGTGTGTGTGTGTGTGCATATACCCTCTCTCCGCATGCGTGTATAAGTGTATGCGCTTATGCTTCTAGTCTGTATGTGTCTGAGTGTGTGTACGTAAACATAAACAAAACACGCTAGTTGGGACTGAGAGGATCTTAGAAATGAATCCGACCTGAACACTCGCTCCTTACAATTTAAAATACCATAATGAGGTAGTAGGTAGTAGGCAGCTACCAAACAGGGAGGTACTACCACCTGGGAAGATATTGGAAGCATAATGTGTTGTCTAATGGTAGACCCTGCTACTATATGGCATCACGAAAATTGTGACCAAGTCCCAGGTTGCTGATCTATCTTTCTGCCTCATTTACACACAATTGCAGGGTCTCAACTGTCTCTCTTACTATTGACAACACCACAACTAAAACCGTACTCATTCTTGATCTGTTTTATTCATTCTATTTTATTCTCCTATGTCAGTTGATATTAATACTGAAGCGGGGCCTTCTCGGATGGGTCCCACTGGTCGGGAAGGTTGTGGACCCCAGGGTCGACCTGATCATCATCAAGCTACTGGGGCCTCAACTGACGCCACTACGGTTGCTGGAGGATCGGCTTTTTTCACACTTCATTTTTCAAACATTCGCGGACTGAGATCCAATTTTTCTTCTGTAGAGCACGATCTATTAACCTCTTCCCCCGATCTCTTACTACTCTCCGAACTTCAACTGACCAAAGCAGCTTCACCCAAATCTTTTCAAGTCTCTAACTACAACCTTTATACCTACTTCCGCTCTAAGGGAGGTGTATGCGCCTACTGCAATACACGTACACCTATAGCCCGACTCACAGATCTTGAATCTCCCCTTTATGATGTCATCTGGCTCAAAATATCTCTACCTACTGTGACTATTTTTCTTTGTTTCTTATACTGTTCTCCCAACTCTACCAACTATTTCGAACTCTTTGACTATCTCACTTCTTGCCATGAGTCGTTGCTATCCACACACCCCTACACCGAGATCCTCTACCTAGGGGATTTCAATGTACATCACAGAGAGTGGCTTGGCTCTGCAAGGGATGACCTAGATGGCGCTGAGGCACTCTCTTTTTCCTTACTTAATGATTTGGAACAAATAATCAAACACCCTACACGCGTTCCTGATCGACACGATCAACTTGCTAACATTCTTGATCTTTGTTTTACCTCTAACCCCTCACACTATTCATACTCAATTTTTGCCCCCTTAGGGTCTTCTGATCACAACCTTATTTCTATTAAATCAAACTGGGCACGACCACCTCCCCCACCCCCTCTAAACGTCAACTATGGCACTATCGGAGGGCAAGCTGGCAATCCTTGCAAGAATTCTTCACCGACTTTCCTTGGGATGAATGTTGCTTTTCCACTCGGGATGCCTCAGTATGTGCTGACAGCATCGCTGGGGTTATACAGGGCGGTATGAGTGCATTTATCCCATCTTCTACCAAAACTTTCACATTACAATCATGGTTTGATCGCTCCTGCTCTCTTGCTTGCAGGGTGAGAGATAGGGCATATCGAGCTATGAAACTATCTCCTTCTCCTATTACCCACGCCTCTTTCATTACTTCTAGGAATCGTTGTAAGGCTATTCTTCGTAGGGCCAAGCGGAATTTTATTAAAAGAAAGACTGCTGTCCTGACTAATTCTTCCTCTAGTAAATCCTTCTGGTCCTTAGCTAAAAACATCTGTAACAACTTCTGCACGCCTTCTTTTCCTCCCCTCTTCCTTCCCAATAACTCTATAGCCAACTCTCCCCCTGAGAAAGCCATCCCTTTGGCACCTTATTCTCCTCTAATTCCACCTTAGACGATTCCCACTCTACCCCTCCTACCCCTGCACCTCCTACTGAACCTGTGCACTTTCCTATAATCTCCACTCGCAGGGTTGCCGGTGTGTTATCCAGGTTGGATGTGAGTAAGGCGCATGTACCGGACGGAATACCCCCTCGTGTTCTGAGGGAGTGTGCTGAAGCCCTGGCCCCTGTGCTTGCTCGCCTCTTTCGCCTTTGCCTCAAAACCAAAACTTTTCCTTCTTCTTGGAAGCATGCCTTGGTTCAGCCCATCCCGAAGAAGGGTGACCATTCTAATCCCTCTAACTATCGCCCCATTGCCCTAACTTCATCCCTCTCTAAGATTTTCGAAACTATCTTGAACTCCCATTTTCTCCGTCACCTTGAACGCCTTTCTCTTTTGTCGGATCACCAGTATGGCTTTCGCCAGGCGAGATCTACTGGTGATCTGCTCTCCTATTGCACCCATCTTTGGTCATCCTCTCTTAGGGATTATGGGGAAACTTTTGTCGTGGCCCTCGACATCTCCAAAGCATTTGACAGGGTATGGCACAAGTCTAAACTTCCCTCTTTTGGTTTCTCCCCCACTTTGTTCTCTCATCTCTAGCTTCCTTGAGAATCGATCCATGGCAGTTGTTGTCGAGGGATCGATTTCTCTCTCTTTCTCTACCAATAGTGGCGTCCCACAGGGTTCTGTTCTTTCACCAACTCTCTTCCTTCTTTTTGTCAATGATTTACTTCACACTACAACTAATTCTATCCATTCTTATGCCGATGATTCTACTCTTCACTCTTCCTCACATTTTCCCCTTCCTCCTAACTCTCAAACTAGATCTGTTTCTAGAACTGATATCATTACTTCTATCAACGCGGATCTCTGCAGCATCTCTGAATGGGGAGATACAAACTTGGTTATGTTCAATAGTAACAAAACTCAATATTTACCAATTACACTTTGTAAATTAGGTAATCTCCCACCATTTACATTTCAGGACGCTATCATCCTCCCAAATTCTGAAATAAATATGTTAGGCCTCACCATTTCCTCCAATATGTCCTGGAAATCACACATCCTTAGTATAACTAAAGCTGCCTCCCGAAAGTTGGGAATGCTGTACAGATGCCGCAGCTACTTCACTCCTGAGCAGTTGCTCCAAGTATATAAGGGATTCATTCGTCTAACTTGGAGTACTGCTCTCATATCTGGGGTGGCTCTTCTTCTGTCCAACTATTAGATAGGGTGGAATCAAAGGCATTTCGTCTTATTAACTCTCCTCCTTTAGTCGACAATCTCTCTCCCCTTTCTCTTCGCCGCAATGTTGCTTCACTCTCTCTCTTTTACAGGTACTTTAACGGGCAATGTTCAGTGGATTTGGCATCCTGTGTACCGCCGGCAAGGCCGTGGGTTCGTAACACACGTCTTGCGCGGTGCCCACCATTTCTCTGTGGATGTCGGTCACACGAGAATAACCCGTTATAGTAACTCCTTCTTTCCTCACACAGCCAAACTGTGGAATGCTCTGCCTTCTTCTGTGTTTCCATGCTCTTACAATCTGTCTCACTTTAAAAAGCTGGTTTTCCGGCATCTTCGTGGTGTAGATTAATACAGTATAACCTTTTTTTCTATATTTTCAATTTCTTTCCGTTCTTTTTTTTTCGCCCCCCAGGCTCCGTTGTGGGTCGTTTGACCTGTGCGCAGGTGGGCTAATTCCCGTAAAAAAAAAAAAAAAAAAGCAGATTATCCAGATACACTCCTGTAAACAGGTTTTTTTTCAAATGACAAAAAAAATGTATTACTTAAGTGGCACAACAGAGGTACTAAAGTGGTACAACAGAGGCACTAAAGCGGTACAACATAAGTACTAAAGTGGTACAACAGAGGTCCTAAGGTGACACAGCAAAGGTACTAAAGTGGTACAACAGAGGTACTAAGGTGGCACAAAAAATTACTAAAGTGGTACAACAGAGGTACTAAGGTGGCACAACAAAGGTACTAAAGTGGTACAACAGAGGCACTCAAGTGGTACAACAGAGGTACTAAAGTGGCACATCAGAAGTACTAAAGTGGTACAACAGAGGCGCTCAAGTGGTACAACAGAGGTACTAAAGTGGTACAACATAGGTACTAAAGTGGCACATCAGAGGTACTAAAGTGGTACAACAGAAGCACTCAAGTTGTACAACAGAGGTACTAAAGTGGCACATCAGAGGTAATAAAGTGGTACAACAGAGGCACTCAAGTGGTACAACAGAGGTACTAAAGTGGTACAACAGACGTAATAAAGTGGCACATCAGAGGTACTAAAGTGGTAAAACAGAGGCACTCAAGTGGTACAACAGAGGTACTATAGTCGTACAACAGAGGTATTAAAGTGGCACAATAGAAGTACTAAAGTGGTACAACAGAGGTACTAAAATGGTACAACAGACGTACTAAGGTGGCACAACAAAGGACCTAAAGTGGTACAACAGAGGTATTAAAGTGGTACAACAGGGGTATTAAAGTGGTACAACAGAGGTACTAATGTGGCACAACAAAGTTACTAAAGTGGTAAAACAGAGGTACTAAAGTGGCACATCAGAGGTACTAAAGTGGTACAACAGAGTCACTGTAGTGGTACAGCAGAGGCACTAAAGTGGTACAACAGATGCACTAAAGTGGTACAACAAGGCACTAAAGTGGTACAACAAAGGTACTAAAGTGGAAAAAACAAAGATACTAAAGTGGCAAAACAAAGGTACTAAAGTGCTACAACAGAGGTACTAAAGTGGTACAACAGAGGCACTAATGTGGTACAACAGAGGTACCAAAGTGGCACAATAGAGGTACTAAAGTGGTACAAATGGACAAATGTAAAGTACTTAGTCTAGGTCTCTCGGAGATGCAAACAGAGAAACCAGATATCAAATGAACAACGATGTTATAGAAAATACGAATGTGAGAAAGATTTAGGAGTAATGATAA